CGCTCTCCTCTCACCTCTTTTCCTCTTTCTCTCCTACGCGTGCGCTTTCCTGCCATATCTCATCCCTCATCTCTCTATTGGAAAACCCACAATGTTTCATCTGCCTCTGCTCTTTTTTTCTCTCCGATTCCCGTATCTCTCGATGTTAGAAAGCGTTTTACGGTATGTTGAATTTCTCGAATTTCCCTTTATTTGGGTTTCCTCTATCCTTTTTGCGTTTGATTGGGAGTTTATAAATTAGGGTTCTTGGGATGTGGGAATTTATATATACTACATATATATTAGTATGGCTTACCATATATAGATTTAAAACTTTCTACGTGTTTTATACAGTTTCAAAATCCACATCACCGTGTGGGATAATTGTGAAAAGTAGAAATAAGATAGTTCCCATCACTTATCGATTATTGATTGAGTTTGAATTTTAATGAAATATATTTTTGAGTCAGCCTTTCCAGTCTTTATTGGACGGGTCTCTTGATTTTTGTTAACTGTAATGGTCTTGTAATCCTATTGTTTGCAAGTGTCAATTACCTGTGAGCTAAATGTTAGCTTAGCTTGAGCAATATAGTTTGGATATATATCCTTATGGAACACTACCTTGTATTTTTCTGAAACCATTAACAAAGATTCACTTTTTGTCTAAAATCTCTCTCTCTCTCTCTCTCTCTCTCTCTCTCTAAATCTTGCTCCCTCTCTCTTCTTGATTCTCTTTCTTTCTCTGCAAGATTTCTTCATTATGTTCTTCTGTTTAAACTACAAGGGTATGTTCTTATGTTTAAAGTACAAGGGTGAGTAGAGGAAAAAGTAATAAAAAATTTGATTTGGAGTGCAGATGGCTAAAAAATATATCTAAAAAATGTCTATTCAAAGTTTGATTTGTGATTTGAGACATTATCTGAGGGCAACTACGTACCTTATAAACGGAGCCGAAACCACCTGTTCCAAGCTTGTTGTTGGAAGCAAAATTATTTGTGGCCTTAACTATGGCACTTAGTTCAAAGAATGGTAATTCGGAGTTTATTCCACTTTCATCAATATTTGTTCTAGTAGAAGAATCTTCCCAGGAGGTTGATGCTATGGTCGCATTGAAAAATTTATCCTGACTTCTCTGACCTGTGATAAAAGTACATAAACAGATAATATTGTGTTCTTAATTAATTAAAACCAATATCCAGTTACATAATTGTGAATGATTAGAGGGCAACCTAGTAAAACGAAATTTGTTTACCTTTTCTCTTCCTCTTTACCAACCAACATGCAAGGGAAAACAAGAGGAAGAACAATAGACCAAATGCTACTGAAACTTCCAGCTTCCTCTTCTTGCCAAAAAAACTGTTTGACTTCTTTGCGTATTGAGCTGTAGATATACAAGCATTTATTTCCATGTTTAAAAAACCTTGTAAAAATTCGGGAAAAAAAAAACCTTGTAAAAAGCTCCAATCAACATAAGAACTAAATTTTTAGTATTAATTTATAGAAATTTCAGAATTTTTTATAAAAAAAATTAGTCCTCTAAAAAAGTCATCTTACACGCTTGACTGAATAATTTCACATTTATTATTCGGCAAGAGACCAGTGCCAAATGATTTTTTTAGAATGACAACAAACGTACAACTACCAAACTAAAGAATAATTCCTTAAATTTTTTAATGAAATAAAGAAAGAAGATTTTTTTTTTTTCATGGAACCTCGGTGTTACGAGGGGAATTATTGATAAGGAAAATATAAGAAAGAAGATAAATTGATAATGGAAATATACCTGAAACATTTGCATCAACTCGCACATATAAATCTTGACCCGTATCCAAATAAGTCCTTGCGTCCATCAAGTCCCCATGCCATGTTATACAGCCACTCCCTCCCTGCCTTTCATCTGCATTTGCGTATGCCGTGCAAGAACAATTTCTCAGGCATTCTTCTTTACATGCTTCCCGACTCCTACTCATGTTCACACGTGCCGTAGAAGTGTCCGGCACCTTCACACGTTCCAACTTCACGAACCCTTCCCCGTTTTGGCAAACGGATGGACCCTTTTGCCTCACGCACCCGCCTGACCAATCTCTCAAATACCACTCATGTTGCAACTTGGGTTCGAATCCAGGTAGGCATTTGCACTCAAATTTATCTTCAAAGTTTGGGTATGGGTAACAAATGCTATTCGGACCACACACCCCGTAAGAATCACACTGCCAATCCGGCGACCAATGCGGGACCCATTTATGCACTTCATCGTCCCATGCGGACCGTTCAATGTTTCCTGATTCATCGATCACCAATTTTACGAAGCTTGATTCAGGAACTAGATCCATGATGGATACCTCATCTTGATTGTTCACAAAAGTAACGTTGGTGAAGAATAGTTTTACCATTGCAGGCACCCCGGACCATCTTTCACCGGTCCAAGGTCCAGTCCGCCACAATCGAGTCTGACCCTTGTATAAGAACTCCTGTGGACTCTCACTTGGCTCCATCCGGAACGAACAGTTGCCCATTCCCGGATCATCTTGGGACTTCCAAGATGTGAGGAAACGGTTCAATCTGGACCGCCTGTCCAGCCCAATTTTCATAAAGGGAAGCATCGTATTTGTGGGATAATCAAAACCTTGCCACACCTTTTCACCATTAATTTCAACAACAAGATTTCCCTTATTCGAAAGCTTGGCTATCACGGAATTGTTTGGAGAAGAGACGGTGAGATTAGCGGACCAGATAGGGGTGTTTTGGTCCTCCCCATAAATAACAAGGCCACCATGATCTCCATGAATGGCTAGAAGTCCATTTCCAGCAGTAGGAACTATGGGGTTTTCTCTGTTTGCAATCCAGACAATGGTTTTGATTGGAATTTTGTTGTACCAAACTCCGATGTAACGGTTACGAGAACTGCCTGGCTTAAAAAACCCTAGTGCAAAGATTTTAGTGGTGGAGAGAAGAACGTCGTCCTCTCTTAGGGGTTGGCTTGATGTAATGGCGTCTAGGGTAACCGAAATGGAAGAGGGAAGAATCACAAGGAAGACGAGCAATACAGTACTGACAAAAAAGAATTCAGTAGAATTCATTGTTAGCTTTCTCATGGAGGAGTTTAAGTGCTACAATGGTTGCTTCTTTCTCATACGCTCGACTTCCAGTTGTATTCAGTAGATAGATAAGACAAATTGGCTCTGAATGGGGCCAAGTCTGTACGAGTACGACCCGTAATGAATGATTTTACGTTTCATTTTTGTCATAAAATTCAACACCACGTAATGCCTTGTGAAAGTAACTTCCGCCATGGTTGGCCTATCTGATGCCCTTTCTTGCACGCAAAGTACGTCCGACCCAAAGATGGATCGACTATACCTAATCCCTTCTCCTCTCCATATATCCGATGCATTTTTTTCTACCAAGAGTTTTGTTATCTTTGAATATGTCGACAAATCTTTATGTTGCTTTCCATCGTTGTTCAAAGAAAATATAATTACCTTCAGTGCCGCGAGGAGACTATTGCAATCATTAAAAGAAAATTAACAGTATGTACCATGCATAGAAGTACAGTACATTGTCTGAAGTGTAATAACACATGAACGCATAATTGAAAGAAGAAGAAATGTTGTATAACCTAACCATTACCGTGCTACAAACGTAGTTATCGTCCCGTTGTTTAGAGAGGAAGCTCCTCTGTTTGACACTGCTGAGTTTGGATTGTTGGATTGTAATATAAAAGCAAGTTTCTTGGGAGAGGGAAGAGTTGTTTTATTACCCAACAGAAGAAAACTTCGGACATGGTTGGCCTATCTGATGCACTTTCTTGCACGCAAAGTTGCCCGATGTGGATGCATCTTGAAACCTCGTGACCAGGATACGTCTGACCCAAAGATGGACCAGCGGCGAAGTGCAGTGTTTAACTGGGGAAAGCAAAGAAGAGGTCTTTAGGAGAGGGACTGAGAGGAAGGAAGAAGAAGTGGCCATTGCCATCTGGGTCGTGTTTGGATTTCAGAATTATGATTGGGTTCGTGTGCAACGGTGGAGGGTGAGTGAGAGTGGCGTTCGTGACTTCGTTTGTGGCGGAGGTTTGGCTTTCCGTTTTTGTCCCATCCCCTCACCAAATCCCACACAGCCGGCGATCTTACACAGCGATCATCAACGCGTGGATCGCAAAACCGAAAATTCCGCCCAAAGACCCAAAACCCATTCCGAAGCCCAGTGGCAATTTTGCAAATAACGTTAAATCAGGGGGCAGATAGACTCAGTAGTAATTTCATAAAGTAATATAATTGCCTTCAGTGCCGCGAGGTGACTATTAAAATCATTAAAAAAAAAAAAGAGTGTAGATAAGCATAAAATTATAGTATGTCTGAAGTGTTATAATATATGAGGGCATCATTTTTTGGGTCCACATAAGAAGACGTCCTTGAAAGAAGAAGAAATGTTTTATAACCTAAGTCTTTAGCATGTGGTCCAATAATTTAGTATTAATAATAATTTAACAAAAAAGTCATTAGCGTGTTACCAGCGTAGTTATCGAAAACTGAGAATTTCAATTTAGCTTTACACTGAACAAAGAAATTTAAAATTATTAAGGAATTTCAAAATGATGGAATTTTATTTTTTAGAATTTGTAAAAAATTTGATTTTTTTTTTGTTTGGTTAACCTACAAGAACGATCGAATCTGAACAGGAATTTTTTATTTTTAAACTTCCACTCATAAAAATTTAGAAATGACATTCATTTACATAGAATTTAAAACACTTGGAGTCCCAAATTCCAATTTTTTTTCACGCGAAAATTCAAAATTTCTATGTTTATGAATCCAAAATAAATGAATTGGTGCATATTAATTTATAAGTTCTAACTTTTGTCAAAATTCCAAGCTTATTTTTGTAATAAAAAAAAGTTAAAAACTCAAACTTGTTTTGTTAAGAAGGGGAATTCGCACGCTACCTGTCACGCCCAAGATTTTTGTTTACAACTGAGAATTTCAATTTGTTACTCACATGTCTTCATGTTAAACATTTGGGCCTCGTTTGGATTCTAGGATTTGAATTTGAATTTAAAATCCTCACATACAAAGAAATCTCGATTTGAGTACAAATACTTTAAGAAGTAAAGCAAAATCTCTACAAGGGCCTAAAAAGTGCAAACTCAACGAGCTTCAATAACTGTTACTGTTATATCATTTACAGAGGAAGCTCCTCTAGACGTTGAAGAATCTGGACCGCCGGTTTTGAAGCTAGACGCTGCCTTTTTGGATGTGGAAGATTCGTTTCATTCCCCAGCATGAATACAACATCTAGCATGGCTGGCCGGTCCGTTGCGTTTTCTTGCACGCACAAGAGCCCAATCTAAATGCATCTCATAACTTCATGAGTCGAATACGACTGGTTCAGTGATGAATCAATTATGTCCAAGACTTTTCCTTCTGTCCACAAGTCCCATATCTGAAACAAGTGTGAGCACAATGTTTAGATCATTGGACTATGCAAGAGTTAGATTCAATGTCTAAAAAATTATTTGTCTACTTACAAGTCCAACCAAATTCAGAAAGGTGTTTTCGAATTGGAAATTGTTCTTTCTGCCGCTAATGATCTCTAGTGCCAAGACTCCGAAGCTAAACACATCGGATTTTGTAGAATATAGCCCATCCATAGCATACTCTGGTGACCTGTAACCACTGCAATCACACATTATCAGTACTAAAAAAAATATCAACTCCAGAGTTTTATTTCAAGTGAGAGGAGAGAATTACTAGGTGCCAACAACTCTATTCGTGTTTGCTTCAATTTGGTCATCCCCAAACATTCTTGCCATGCCAAAATGTGATATTTTTGGATTCATTGAACCATCCAGTAAAACATTGCTTGCTTTCAAATCCCTGTGGAATATTTTTAGTCTCGAATCTTGATGAAGATATAGGACGCCTCGAGCAATCCCAATGATAATTTGAAACCGCTTTCTCCAATCTAACAACGACTTTCTGTCTTTATCTGAACACAACACATAAAAACTTCTATTAGCTACAAGTTTAGGATTTCTTAATTTCAGCATGTATTCATAGATTGCATACCGAAAATGCATAAGTCCAAGCTGCGATTCGGCATGTATTCATAGATTAGCATCCTCTCTTCTTTATATATGCTGCAACCCAAAAGCCTAACAAGATTTCTATGCTGAAGCTTTGCTATAAGCATTACTTCGTTCTTGAATTCATCTACGCCTTGTCCTGAATTTCTCGATAATCTTTTGACAGCTATATCCTGTCCATCAGCTAGACATCCCTGAAATCACAGTGAAGACTCGACAATCTTAATGGCAACTTCAGATCGATATAATGTTTACATCCAATTCTGTCTTATCTGCCTCAATGTCACAGAGCTTATGTATTGGTATATTTGCAGCAGAGTAAACAAAGTACACGGAAGCGTATTTCATATTTTATTTGAAGCCACACAACGCTGAGACACTCAAAATGATCTAGGGAAAGTACCTTGTATACCGTGCCGAAGCCGCCATGTCCAAGCTTGTTAGCAGAAGAGAAGTTTTCTGTGGCTGCAACCACAGTGGTTAAATCGAAAAAAGGTAAATCTGTGTCTCCTCTGTGTTCATCAACCTCATTTTTTGTTGGCAAATCTTCATAGCTTCGTACACGAGAAGCAGCGGGATCGTTCAGAAATCTGGGTTCTCCTCCTCTCCCTGTTTCAATTCCATTGAAATTTCAGGGTATAAAAAATTTCACAAAGAAAATGAAATTTGAGCTGAAATAAAGCTGCAAACAAATTTACAAGACGATAGAAGGGGAAACTTTTCCTTTTCGCATACCTTTCCTTCTCCTTTTCCTGAACCAATATAGAACTGCGAGGATGAGCAATGAGGCGACAGAAATTGACACTACCAATATAATAGCAAGTCGCCTTCTCCCGGAAAAATACCCTCCTCCTGACTTGTTTTTATACTGAGCTGAAAAAATGAAAAAAAGATCAATTCACCAGTGCTATGAATGGTATGAATTTGAAACATGTAATTGACGCAATCTGTAGGAAAATAAGGTACCTAAAACTACTGCATCAACGCGAATGTACAAATCTTGCCCGCCTTCTGTGAACTGCTTAGTATCCATCAAATCTCTATACCATGTCATGCATCCAGTCCCTCCATTCCTCACATCTGCACTCGCATATGCCAAGCACGAGCAGTTCTTCAAGCACTCCTCCTCACACGCTTCTAAGCTCAAATTATTCTCCAATTTTATAGAGGACGTGTCTGGAACCTTTACATTTTCCATCTTCACAAAATCCTTGCCGTTCCTGCACATGGACGGCGAACCCTGCGGCCTCTTGCACCCATCTGTCCCATCTCTTAAATCCCAATCCTGCGGTGAGGTTGGTTCATATCCGGGTAGCATGTGCAGTTGAACCACTGTTGGTGTAAGGATTGCAATTGCCAAATTGACCACACTTGCATAGCTGTCACAGGCATCCAAGGTGCGGACCAAAGCGAAACCCACTGGTGTGCTGGTCCTGCCATGATGCTGGTTGAGTCCCGACCCGTCATTGTGATCACCGAGTAAATAAAAGTCGGAACAGTCCACTGCACAGAAATTTCTTTGTTGTTCAGAAATTGATCTTAAACACAACGCTCCGATGCATGGCAGGTATGCCGCCATTGAATCCCGTTCCACTGCCTGACTACTTAGCGTCATCCTTGTACAAGATCAACTGAGGCGATCCATTCGGTCCATTCTCAACGAAACATTCCCCGTCCAGGATCATTGTCCAGTTCCACACGTGAGGAACCGGTTTATGCCACTTCTTCTGTCCACGGCTTTCATATTCGGAAGAAGAATTTCGCGGTGATCAGTGCTCTGCCAAGCTGGCGCCAAGGTTCCTGAATCAAGAATGCGCAAAAATATTACGTTGCCTCTGATGATATCAAACATTTGTTGACCACAGAGGAATAAGGCCTTGGCTAGTATTGGCTTGCAGCACTAGGTTTCCATCAGAACCTATTGAGAGAACTCCTTGTTGGTATATGGTCCAGCCTATGATCAATGTTCTAGATTATTCTAGTAAGCAAGAGAGGAGGCGGGAGCATGTTAGACAATTCTTGCATGTTATTAAGTTGATGGAAGAAGTTAGAGAGTACTAGCTTCCTTGGTTGCAAATGGAAAGATCTAGAAGCTACAATTATGTGGCTAGTCTAGAATTTTCTATACTAGAGGTTTGAAGAAGGAAATAGAAACTAGTAGAATGTCAAGCTCTCACCTATAAATATGGGTGTGATGTAACCAATTAAGAACCAAGTGTGAGTAGCAAAGGATCAAGTCCAAAGCTAGAGTTCCACTCCAAGAGTGAGAGTGAGAGTGTTCCACTACACATTGTGAGTGAAGTTTAGAGTAATAGAAAGTGTGTGTCATACTTTCTTGTCCATCAAGCCTTGTCTTTGGCTTGGTGATATCTTGTTGTACTCACTTTTTCATATAGTAGATTGATCCTTGTCTTATGGACGTAGGCTAAATTGCCGACCACATAAATTTTGGTGTCCATTTTCTACTTTACCTTGTGCATTCTCTATCTTGTAGTATGACATTCCTACAAGTGGTATCAGAGCCAAGTTGGCTCGTACTCGGATGGAAGGAAGTGGCACTATGATCAAACTCACCAACTCCAATTGGGTAACATGAAAGCCAAGGATGAAGGCCTCTTTATTGCAAGGATCTGCATGAGCCAATTGAAGGAGATGCCGCCAGCCCGAGAGCATGTTCGTGCCGGTGGAAAATGAATCGTAAGGCTATTGGTACAATTAGACAATGGGTGGACGATAGTGTTTCACCATGTGTCAATGCCAATGCGCGAGTTTTGGCAAGCTTGTCCTTGTTCGAGAAGAAAACTCCAGCTAAAAAGCATTCTTGATCAAAGAGCTCATCATGTGAATACAAGGATGGTTTAAGTGTAGCAGAACACTTGNGTAACTACCTGATCAAATTTGAGGAACCACTGCCTAGATGCTTGTTTAAGTCCATAAATTGACTTGTTTAGCTTGCAGACCATATTATCTTTCCCCCTTTCAGAAAATCCAGGAGGTTGGACCATGTATATGTCTTCCTCTAAATCACCATTCAAAAAGGCGGTTTTAACATCCATCTGGTGTAGCTCCAGATCAAAATGAGATGTCAAAGCCATGATGATCCTCATAGAATCTTTGGAAGAAACAGGTGAAAACGTGTCATTGTAATCAATCCCTTCTCTCTGAGTAAAGCCTTTGGCTACTAACCGAGCCTTGTATCTCTCTATGCTCCCTGCAGCAGCATCCCTTTTAGTTTTGTAGACCCACTTGCAACCTATTGGTTTTAGCATTTGAATTGGAGTTCACAAGGGTCCATACTTTGTTCTTGGCCATGGAATCTAGCTCTTCCATCATTGCTTTCTTCCATAATGCAGCTTGAGAACATTGAATTGCTTGTTGATAAGTGGCTGGATCATCTATATCACCTATGTCAAATTCTGCCTCCTGGAGATAGACATAATCGGCTGAAATTGCAGGTTTCTTGGCTCTACTTGATTTCCTCAGATTCAATTGATCATTTACTGGACATGTATCTTTCTCAATGGGAGAACTTGGAGCACTTAGGGGTATATTTCGTGTAGAAAAGGTATCTCCATGTTCATTTTGTATTTCAGCAACTATTTCATGTGTCATCTCTTCATCAAGATCTTCTTCCTCTGTCTGATTTCTAGGCAATACTGAAATATGGTTGTAGGCCATTGGAACCGAGCCAACGAGTTGTTCTGATTCTTCAAACTCAAAAGTGTCATGCACTAAGTCTGATACATCTTGGTCTTCTAAGAAAACTGCATTGTGAGTCTCTTGAATTCTTGTCTGTGCTCGAGGACAATAAAACTTGAAACCCTTCGATTTCTCTGAATATCCCACAAAGTAGCATGAATTGGTTCTAGAATCGAGCTTCCTTTCATTTGGGTTGTAAAACCTAGCTTCTGCTTTGCAACCCCACACATGAAAATGATGAAAACTTGGTGTTCTGCCAGTCCATAGCTCAAAAGGTGTTTTTGGCACTGATTTTGTAGGCACTCGGTTCAACACATAGTTTGATGTCCTCAATGCTTCTCCCCACAGAAAACCAGGCAGCTTAGATCTTGAAATGAGACTTCTAACCATTCCCATCAAGGTTCGGTTTCTTCTCTCAGCCACTCCATTCTGTTGGGGTGTTCCCGGAGTAGTATACTGGGCCACAATACCTTGCTGCTCAAGAAACCGTGCAAAATGACCCTTTTGTTGTCCTGCTTCTGTGTGCCTGCCAAAGTATTCCCCTCCTCTATCTGATCTAACAATCTTAATCACTAGGTTTAGTTGTTTTTCTACCTCACATTTAAAAATTTTGAAACACTCAAGAACTGCTGACTTTTCTTTTATTAGAAATATGTAACCATGTCTGGAGAAATCATCTATAAAACTCACAAAGTATGAATTTCCACAAATAGTTTTGATAGGAAAAGGTCCACAAACATCGGTGTGTATAATCTCAAGCAAATTTTTACTTCTATTGGCATCCATTTTCCTAAAGTTGGTGGTTTTACCCTTCATACAGTCAATGCATTCAGATGCATTATGAAAATCTAAAGCAGGTATGAAATTTAATTTTGATAATTGCATGATCCTGTCCTTCGAAATATGTCCTAGTCTTTTATGCCACAACATATAAGAGTTGTCAAAATTTTGCATTCTTTTGGCAGTCGTATTTAAAACACTTAACTCATTGTCCAACAATGTGCACTGCATTTTCCATAACTGATCATGCAAAACTGCTTTTCCTATCAAGGCTCCCCTACAAAAAAATTTGATGCATTCTTTATCACCTATGAAAATAACACCTTCAGCTACTAACTTAGATGCAGAGATTAAACTTCTTCTCATTGCAGGCACATATAAAACATTGGACAGTTCCAACACAAATTCAGAAGCCAATTTTAGTTTCACTTTCCCTATCGATTCAACTACAACTCTGGTTCCTTCACCAACAAAAACGTTATAATCATTTGTTTGTTTTTGTTTTTCAAAACCATGCAGTGAATTGGTTATATGCACAGATGCACCAGTATCAAACCACCAGGAATTTGCCGGAATTTCAATGAGATTTGATTCCTCACAGACATATACATTAGTTCTCTACCTTTAGCCCTAAGCCATTCTTTGAATATTTCACAATCTTTTCTATAATGACCTTTAGTTTTGCAATGATGACACCTAACCTTTTCAATGTTTTTAGTTTTAACTTTAAGATTATTAGATTTAGAGGAATGGGAATTCTTAGCAGACACAAAAGATTTATCAGGATGTTTGAATTGAGGAGATTTACCAGAATTTGCATTGAGATCCCTCCTTTTAGAAGTCTGCACAAAATTGATGGTCTCAGCTTCCTTTCCTTTGTCTTGCTTCTGTCGATTTTCCTCTTGAACACATTGAGATATCAGTTCATCCACTGTCCATGACTTATCTTGAGTGTTGTAAGAGACTTTTAATTGACTGAACTTCAAAGGAAGCGCTTGCAGAATCATGAACACTAGCTGCTTTTCACAAATGTTCATGTCTAATGAATTAAGCTTCTCAGCCGCATCGGTCATCCTCATAATGTGATCTCTGACTGAACCACCACCTTCAAATTTGTAAGTTGTGAGAAGGGTCATATACTGAGCAATCTCAGCCTTTTGTGATTCCTTGAATTTGCTCTCAATAGCTTTGAAATAATCTTTTGCTAGATCACACCTTTTGATACCTCCACGAACAGTGTCCGTCATCCCGCTCTCCAAAATGGATAATGCCACTTTATTAGCTCTTGTCCATCTTTCGAACTCAACCTTCTCAGCCTTTGAACTCTTATCAGTAAGAGGCGCAGGTTGTGGTGTATCAAGTGCTATATCATACTCATTTAATGTCAAGAGCAATTCCATTTCCCTTCTCCATTTTTTGTAATTGCTCCCACCAGTGAGTATAGGTACAGCAGCCAAATTCATTGTTTTTAGTGAAACTGCAGAAGATAACAATGAAATCATCACATTGAATCTTTTCGGGATTCATGATTTCCATCTATTTCACTATGTAATCCTCATAATGAGTCAATTTTGTCATACACATGGTCTCAAACTTTAATAAAGACAACCATGTATAGAGTAAACAACTCACAGAAGATTGTATTCAAGAATCATGCTCGAAAGGGATGATATTCAAATATCACACCACATGCATTGAAAATCAAAAAATTCAATAAACCCAAACAAATTAGCAGCGGAAACATTAAAATAATTCTTCAGTTTATCCATTTAGATAATTTTGATTCAAATTGGCGAGATGCTAACAAATTTGCATATATACGGTGTTCTCTAGTTCAAATAAGCTTTTTAACCTAAATTCAAGTTTCAAGATTGCAGACATACCTGTTTGGAGAAATCAATGAATGAAATTGACACGAGAAGAATCAGAGAGAATCAGAAGAATCATTCATTGAATCGCCATATACCCAGAGACCATGAAAAGAAAAGATGCAAGGCAAAGCAAAAGACGCAAACCCGGCGATCATAACGGTATAAATTTAAATTTTTTTTTTTTTTTTAAACGGTGTCGTTTTTTACTGTTATGCTCAAAAACAGGTTATGCGTTTCTGGGTTTTAAGATTATGGTTTCTTGTCC